GAGAGAGAGAGAGAGAGAGAGAGAGAGAGAGAGAGAGAGAAGAAGAACAAGAGACAAGGAGAAACACGTGCTCTACGCCTCGCCGTCCCCGGGCAACTCGTCAATGACCTTCTCCACCATGTCGATGAGCTCGTCAATGTCAGGCCTCTCGGCGGGCTCGACGGTCAGACACCTCCTCACAACGTTGCGTATGGACTCGCTAATGACGACATTGCCACTGCCACCGCCAGCGGCGGACTCACCGCCAGCAGCGGCGGCGGCGGCGGCGGCGGCAGCCTGGGCCTTCATGCCGCCGGTGGCGGTGCGGCGGACGCCCTCGTCGGGAAAGCGCCAGTCGCCGTTGAGGACGCACAGCGACAGGCTGCCGCCCGTCTCGTCGGAGCGGGCCTCAAAGGGGGACTTGCCGACGAGGCAGGCGTAGAGGGTGCAGCCCATGGACCAGATGTCGACCTTTGTGTCGATGACGGCGCCGGTCTGGACGTCGAAGAGCTCGGGGGCGCGGTAGGGCATGGTCGAGTGCTCGGCGGCCGTGTCCTGGGTCTGCAGGGCCAGGGACGGCGACGTGATGGGCAGCGGGCTCGCGGCGAGGGAGCCGAGGTCCATGAGGATGGGCGCGTTGCCCGAGTCGGTGATCATGATGTTGCCGGGCTTGATGTCGCGGTGGGCGTACGACGAGGGCGGCCCGCCGCCGCCGGGCTGCGACGAGGCGTGCGTGGCCGGGGCCATGAGGGGCGCTTCCTGGGCCTCGGCGTCCTCGTCGTCGGGGACGCCGGCGCGGCCGCGGCGCGGGCCGTGGCCCTGGTCATCCTCGTCGCCGTGGCCCATCTCCATCGGTTCCGAGGGGGCGCCGGGAGCCGGGGCGGCGGCGGTGCCGGTGTAGTGGTGCATCTCGCGCAGGGCGCGGCAGACGCCGAGGAAGAGGAGCATGAGGCGGCGCTCGGGAAAGGTGGCGTTGTTGACGGCGTTGGCGTTGATGAGGTCCTGGAGGTTGCCGCGCTTGTAGTAGGGCAGCAGGACGTAGACCGTCTTGGCGCCGGGGTCGTCACCGCCGCCGCCGCGCTCCGAGGCCACGGCGTGGTCTACGGCGTGGATGATGCCTGGGGTGCGGCCGAAGAGGCGGTAGGCGTCGACCTCGCGCATGGCCTGGGCGACCGACTCGGCGCCAAAGGGACAGCGGATCTTCTTGAGGGCGTATTGCGCCTGTGTGGATGTGTCCTCAACGAGGTAGACGTAGGAGAAGCCGCCCTGGAGGGACAAGTCAGCTCATGGATAGGAATTGGGAGGTCACAGGTCGTTCATGACAGAGAGGGCGAAAGACGGAGAGGGGACATGACGGAGGGGGGAAGGGGCGCACCTCGCCTAGCAGCCGCAAGATCTTGAAACTGCGATTGTTGATCTTGAGGGTGGGCGAGCCGGGGAAGCAGCTCAGGCAGTTGCCAAAGGAGGTGACGAGATCGAGGAGGAGTTGCGCCATGGCTGTGGCGGGTACCCAGGGAGGGTTGTGCGTCTGGCGATTGATTGAGCCGTGGGAGGAAGCCTCAATGGAGGGTCCGAGGTTCGTGATGCCGGCAACGTCTCGGATTCGTGTAGCTCGAGATGGGGATGCCGCTGTGCTCGTTTGTGGACGAGTCGTGCAAGCCGTGGCGAGGCGAGCTGGTCGAGGAGGATGCGTGCTGAGGCGGTCTCTTTGGCGTTCGAGCAATTGACCGGTCAAGAGGGATTGGAATTGTATGTACAGGAGGGAGGGATTGATGAGGGTCGTCGTGGTGTGTGTGCTGTTTGCGTATGTACGAAGATGGACAAGGTGGATGGACGAGGTGCTACAAGGATGGGGAGCACACGGCTGCGACGGCCGAAACATCAACGTCAGCGTTCAGCGTTCAGCAATCAGCGTTCAGCGTTCTACGTTCTGCGGTTGCTGCTTGCTAAGCCACCGACAGGTGGATGACGCCGTCCGGGCTGTGGCTGGGTAGGGTACGTAGCTACCTACGGAGGCCAGCAAGGCAAGTGCTATAGTTGGATGCTCCGTCGGCAGGCGCCCGAGAAAGTACCTGCCATCATACAAAGTTGACATGTCTGCCTCGGAAGGCAAGTGCTATAGTTGGATGCTCCGTCGGCAGGCGCCCGAGAAAGTACCTGCCATCATACAAAGTTGACATGTCTGCCTCGGACTACACTCCAAAGCTTTGCTTCAACTACTTCTTACACGCAACAGGTCTGCCTCGTCTACAACGTCGACAGGCGTTCGGTCATCGCCTCGGTATCGGCATCAGACCCTCCATCGCCAAAGAAGACCCTCAGCTTCTCGTCGAGCCACTTGACGTCCTCCGTGCTCTGCCCCGGCCCGCCAGCCCTGGAATCGTACGCTCAGCATCAAGTCACCTGTCCCGCAACGGAGAAACCTACCAGTGCCCCCAGATCGAGGGGAAGGCAACGCACGTTCCGATCCCTGGGCTCATGCATTTGACCTCGTACTCGGAATCCTCGGGTGGAAAGTAAAGGTCCGTCTGGCCGGGAAGTACGAGCATCTTGGCCTTGATGCTGCGCATGGCCAGCTCAAAGTCTGTCTCTGTTCTTCAGCCGAGCAACGGATGAAATGCATTGAATGCACGACAACACTTGGAAAACATCAACATGGGCGCATACCTTTGTTGTACGGTTCCTGGTCCGAGCAGTCCCCAGCCTGCCACGTGTGCAGCATGACGAGCATGTTCTCGGGATCTGGACCATATCAGCCGTTGTCAAGTTGGGGCGCTGTCAACCAAACACCCAAGGGCACAAACAGCACACACACACACATACGCACCCTTGGAAAGAGCCCACGCCTCCCAAAACCCAACCATGAACTCCTCCAACCCCTTGAACCCCAGCGTCGGCGCCGTCTCGTACACCCTCTCCCGGTAGAACGCCTGGCTGAATCCCCACCCGGCATACACCCTGCCGAGCGCCCTCAGCCCATTGGCCCTCTCCTCGTCTGTCCACCCCTGATACTCGCCATGTTCAGAGGCCTCGCACGTCTCACCAGCGCAGACGCCGCCCGACGAAGTCCCCTTGGCCGCGAGCAGCGCGCTCTTGACGCCCTCGAGAAACACCTGGTTGTGCAGGCTCGTGCGCGCGCTGCCGCAGAACGGCACGGCGAGGTCCATAAAGTCCGGATATTGTGTCGCCCACTGGTACGTCTGTCCGGCGCCCATGCTCCACCCGAGCACGGCGCGCGCGTGCCCGACACCGAGTCCCCGCGTCACGAGCTCGTGCTGCGCCCGCACATTGTCGTAAAACGTCACGCGCGGCCACGGCCGCCGCCGCTGCCCCTGGCCCTGCGACTTACCTGCCGCCTCCGTGTTGCTGGGGCTGCTTGACTGGCCGTTGCCAAAGAGCGCGGGCATGATGATGTAGTAGCGCGCCGGGTCGAGCGTCTTGCCCGCGCCGACGAGCCACTCATTATCGGCGATGGCGCCGCTGTACCAGGTCGGGTAGATGACGGCCGGCGACGAGGGCGCGCCGAACGTCTTGTACGCTAGGAAGGCGCCGGGGATCGTCTCGCCCGACTGAAGGGCAAAGTCTCCGAGGGAGAACGTCTTGACGTCTGCGTCGGCCATTTTTTTCAATGTGTCATGTGTCGAATGAATATCCTGATGATGCTTTCCAGAAATATGACAACGATCAATGGCGCAAAATGTGGTGTTCATCACCGTCCGAAAGCCAGAGGGGTCTTCCCCCCTCTTGTTCCTCCAGCTCTAGATAAGCCGTGTCACGGGGTTCGTCTAGGGAGACGCCGAACAAGCGGGTGTGCATGGTTAGCTTCGGCCCCGGCAACCTGGCCCATCGGACGCTCCTCGATCAGGCAGCGCATCAACGGCGGTTAAAGAGTGGTCTGATCTGTTGCCGCTCGCGCCGCCCAGGTGATTCGCTCATTGGTCTTGCGTGCATCATGGCAGCAACAACCTTTCTCGTTAATTCCACATGACGCCTTGTCGTTCGGTCTATACCGAGCCATATAAGCTGCTCCAACCCGACACTCATAAGAGTTACACCATCCATGTCAATTCCCTTCTGGCACTTGAACACTGTTGCGCATCTCCCTCCGGAGGCGATAGGCAAAACATGTACCTCCAGTATCGTTGTCAAAGACACCACGCATTCGTGTCCACAGTTGAAGAAGAGTCATTGTAATTAAAATATCCTACGTCGTCCAGTCATCCTCTTAAGCAAGGAATGATCTTGGTCCCGGTCAAAACCAGGTATCGTGCCTCCTCATTGTCATCATCATCCATCCAGCCGTAAGAGAAGAGACAGAGAGGTAAGGAAAGGATGAGACCTCCAAGTGGCCTCCCCAGACTTCGTCGTACAGTAGAGGGAAAACCATGAGCCTCGCATATCGTGGGCAAGAGGCGTTTCAAAACAGTGGTATCATCGTTCTCGCTCAGAATATGCCCGTATGCCGTGTGCAGCAAGTATGAACGAAAAGTGAAATCGAACCATCACCGAGGCTGTGTAAAAGGTAAGGCCTCCTTCGGGGCAAAAGAAAAGTGCAAGGCGACAAGCGTCGCTTACGCCGACACACCTAGAACGCGTCCTCAAACGGGCAATCGACGCTGTCATGGCCGTCACGCTCGCACAGCGCGCACCACTTGGCCTCGTCCACGACGCCGCTCGATTTGCCCGCTACCGGGCCCGAATCGAGCGGGTTGGGCAGGATCTGGGTGCTGGGCGTGGCCGTCGGCGTCTTGCTCTTGGAGGGGGAGAGAGGTGCGAGAGGCGCAGGCTTGTTCATGTCGTGCGAGGTGCCACGGTTGTGGTATGGCTGAAGGCCGCCCTCCGAGCTCGCTGCCGCCGCTGCCGCACCATTGTGCTTCGCATGATCGCCAAACATCTCGGTGCACGTGAGGACGTCATGGCCCGCCGTCTCGCAGATTTCGCACCAGAGAGTGCTAGTCTCGGTGGCCGTCGAGTACGCGTCGCTGTCGAAGCCGGGTGGTCGCTTGTGCAGCTCAGGAGACCGCGACTCGCGATGGCGCGCTAGGACGACAGTGTCACGGGAGTCGCGGAACGACGACCTCTGTGTCGGGGCGGGATTGAGCTTGGAGGGCCCCCGGAGCTGCTCCACCTCGCGCTCGAGCTCTTCCTCGCGCATGTTCTTGTCATCGAGCATAGCGCGAAGGTCCGTCATCTCCTTTTCCATCTTCTCGCGCGCCGCTCGAGAGTCCACCGACTCGCCGGCCGTGGCAGGATACGAGTGCATCTTGTTGTTGAAAGAGCTCACGCGCGGGGGGTGCTGGTGTTCAAGCGCTTCCGCGTTGGGGATCGAGTCTCTGCTGAGCGAGTGGATAATTGCCTTGAGGCCGCGAATCTCATCCTCCTTCTGCTCGAGCTCCTTGGAACTGGCTGTTGCGTCTTGTGCGGGCGCACTGTGGCCTGTGCTGGGCTTCTCACGCTCACGACGGAGTTCACTACGCGTCCGCTCGACTTCTCCCCGCAGGAACTCGACCTCGCCCCTCGCCTCAGCTTCTCCGCGTCGGGCATCCTCCAAGCCTTCCTCGAGCTCTTGGACGAGTTCCTCCAGCTGTTTCAGCTGCTGGGCAACCGAGTCAACATCATCGGTTCGTGACTCGTGATCCCGAATCTCCTGCATCAGCTCCTCGATGCGCTTCTCGTACACCCTCTCGGTCTCGGTACTAGCCATCTCGAGCGTGTCGATGGTGCTGCGGAAATCGGCTCGGTGCGCATCGAATTCAGCCGTGAGCATGGCGATCTTTTCGTTCTTCTCCCGCAGGATGGCGCGGAGCTGCGTCGAGTCCTTATCGTCCAGGCTGTTGCGTCGCGGCCGCAGGGCGTCAGGGTTCTCCATAAGCGTCTGGAGCTCCGTGAGGCTGCTCTCCATGTCGGCCAACGTCGCGGCCTGCTCGCGGAGCTGGCGATCGCGCTCCTCGAGCTGGTGGCGTAGTCGCTCGGCCTCTTGATCATCAGTGTTGCCCGTCCGTGACGCGGGTCGGAACTTGGAGTTGAACGAGGAAACAGAACCAACACTGCCGTTGGTCTTGGGGCGACCCATGGCCATGGGCGTGATGTCGTCCTCGGGAAACTCCATCGACTGGCCGAGGGCAGACGCGCTGCGAGGTCCCACGCTAGGCTTCCTCTCCAGTCGCGGCACCCCCTTCCTGGGATCACCTGATGTGCCTCGCACGCTCTGGGCGAACCGGTTGGGCGTCGGGCTGCCATATCTCGAGGGAGGCTTGACGCCAGGGGTGACGCCGCCGATGGAGGGCCTAGGGCCGGGCGTCATGAGTCGTCGGACAGGCGACTCGGGGCGGGGTAGCGAAGGTCGAGGGCGCTTCATCTGGGGACTGGGTGCCCTTCCTGGGCCGACGGACTGGCTGAACTTGGGCACCGAGGGCGTCGGAGGTGTGTGGTTCGTCGAGTTTTGGTTGCCCATCTTGAGACCGCCGCCGTGAACGCTTGCCGTCGGGGTGAATGGGAAGCTCGTCGCGGAATCAGGGGACGTGGGTCGCAGAGAGGCCTTGATTAAGGGCAGAAAGATGCCGGCGCCGGGGACGCTCGTGGTGAAGTAGGACACGCTGCATCGATCGAGCGAGGTCAGCAAAGGGGCCCGATTGAAGGAAGAGGGATCAAGGAGGAGGGGATCAAGGACAGGGAATCAAGGACAGGGAATCAAGGACAGGGAATCAAGGACAGGGAATCAAGGACAGGGAATCAAGGACAGGGAAACGCATACCCATCAACATCGCCAGAGTTCTTGCCGCGGGACGCAAAGTCGGACTGCAGCTCGACACCGGCAAAGGTGCCCTTCTTTCCCTGCACAGGCCCGATGAAGCGAACGGTGCCGTACATGTTGCCAGGGACGTCAACAAGATCGCCGACGACAAAGTCATCGCCGCCAACGAGGGCGCTCGCGGCGCGTGGCGTCCGGCCAGGCGTCGTGGGCGTCATTCTCTTTCCGTCGGGCGGATCGCTCAGCACGGTGTTGAGGCCGTAGCTCTCGCTGGCATCGGGGATGGAGGCGAGGGACGATGGCGTCAGGGCGGCCAGGGAGCCCTTGCGCGCCAAGAGGGAGGAGCTCGTGGGTAAGGGGGGCGCCAGGCGTGACGAGTGCGAGGTGTAGAGCGAGTTGAGGTTGGGCGTCGATGCAGCGTGGTGGGAAGAGCCGTAGAGACCGCCGTTGGTGAAGCTGGACGACTTTCGCAGGGTGCGCGGCAGCTGCTGGGAAAAGTGCGTGGAGCGTTGGGAACGGAGGGGTGGTGGCGGCCTTGTTGATGTTGATATGGTGGAGGATGTTGTTTCGGTAACCAGCGTTGAAGACATGGCGGAAGGGTCTGGGACTGGCGTCCCTGCCTTGGCCTAGGGTACTTGGATCAGGTAGGTAGGTACCAGGTAAGGTAGGTACCTAGATAAGGTACCAGGTAAGGTACCTAGGTAAGGTAGAGAGAGGTAGGTCCCTATTCGGGTACCGGGGCCCCAAGCCAAGCCAAAGGCGTGGATTCGGCCGTCCACCGGGAGGGTCGTACTCTGCCAGGCGTCTTCAGGTGCTGTGGTACCTGTAATTACAGCGTACCGTCAGTGGGTGGGAGGTAATCTTGTTTACCCCCACCACACCTCATGAAAAAAAGTGTTCCGTCGTCAACGACCGAGCAACAGAGCTCGAACCTGACTGGCGGGCCTGTTCTGTTCTTTTCTTCCAGGTTCGTCTGATGTCTCGCGCCCGCGTCTGGCGTCCAGTGTCTTCCCCCTCCCCCCAGTGTCGGATGCCCAACGCGCCTGATGTGCTGTCAGGCTAGCCTTGCCGTCCGAGGTGGATGAGTGGACAGGAAGCAAAGCGCGATCTCCCTCCAGCGCCAGTGTCTTTGTGGGCTTTCGGCAGGCGGGGGGTTTGTTCCTCGCTCGTGTAACAAGATGGGCGATGAACTTGGCGTGTGTGAATGGCTGGATGCTCTGCGTTTCTTTCTGTCTTGCAGCCGGGACGCTCGCTGCAAGAAGCAAAGCAATAAAGAAGACTGGAAGAAGAGAGAGAGAGAGGGAAAAAGAGAATGTGTCGTTGGATGAAAAGCGAAGGGGTTTCGTCTCTTCTTGTTTCGTCACGTCACAGCCCAGCGGCACCCCTCGTTCCTTTCCGTCTGTGTGCTGAGTGTCCCTCCCTTTGTGTCAACCCGTTCCGTCAGTTTCCTGCCGGGGGTGGATGTGTGTGAGTGTGACGGTGGCCCGGCCGCTGGGGACTGGGGACAGGGTGTGAGTGGCAGTTGCACAACTGACAGGGGATCGACCACTGTAAGGTAGAAAGTTGAGGATGCGACTTGCCTCTCCTCCAAGATGATGCGTGCGGGAAGGGGAGAGGGGCGGAAAAAGAAGCAAACCCCCAGATATTGTTTGCAGAGGAGCAAAGGGAGGAATCCCTTTTCTGCGTTTCCAGACTCAAATACGAGAGAGAGTCTCTTGACGGGTGAATCGCCACGAAGCCTCCCCTGAACTTTGCCACGGCAACATCCACCGCCTTTCTCGCGAGGCTTCATGGTATCGATTGTTTACATTCTCCAGATACAGTAACGCTGCCTCCATCACACTGCGTCTTGCAGGCGCTCCTTGCTGCGTCTGCCGCTGCACACATGCACCCCCTTCAGCCAACCTCAGCCCGCCTTTGGACGGGCGACCCCATCGCCGTGCCTGCAGATCCATTGCTGAATGGCTGCCGCCTCCATGTGACCTCGAGCTTGAAGCTGACCCTTTGCCGTCCATGGCGGTGCTGCTGGTCAGTGGGGCGTGGAGAAGGCGTCTGACAGGACGAGTGTCCTTCTTGCGCACGATAATCATAAGTGGTCGCTGCCCTCTCAGCCTTCATTTGCAGGCGCGGGCGGCTACAAGACTTCCGACGTCAGTCTGAGTTGGGGCCTCCAGACATTTGATTAGCCCGAGCCCTGATCTTGGGAGGACGAGGTAGATCATCCGATATCAGAATAGACTGGAAACAAGGGGAATCCCAAGACCTCGGATACCCCGGACCTCGGGCTGGCACCCAGTCTTGCCAATAGCCCATGATATATTTCCAGTCACCTTTTTGCTTTCCAGCTTCACTCTAGGTAGGGGCCTTGTTCTCCTTGCTTGGTACCCCACTGGCATCGAGAAGTCGGCCGCCTCGTAACGTATCCGGGTGGCTCGTTCCGGGGACAGGTGGTCGCTTGACTGGTACCTGTGCACCACGCCGTCAGAGCTTGAACCCTGTCTCTTAGCTGCCCTGCGGTCCCGGCACAGGAGATCCACCAGCAAACATGAACCCCGCTGTGGCCGCCGGGACCGCATATCGCTTGTGATGGTTGGGATGGTGATCCTCTCATCCAAAGCCAGACAGCTAGCTCTAGGGTAGAATGACCGTCTCACTCAAATCAATACCGACTGCCTGTCCGGAGTCCTTCGCTCGCAATTGGAACTGTACATGAGGGAGATTTCCCCGAATGCCACGGCCAGCTGTTCACTACCCACCTAGGTACACATGATGTGTCATATCGGTTGGTGTCTTTGCAAAGGCCGCTGCATAACCCATGCCCGAACTGTCAACCCTGTCTGTTCCCCTTGTGGCGATGCTTCATTCGGCCTTTTTAGAAACATTCTGATTTTAACCTGTTGCCGGATCCATTCACCTCTCCACGGAGCCTCTCCTCACGGTCCGAGACAGTCTGCTTGTTGTTGTTGTCTGTCTCCTTATGGGCTGCCCCGAAATAGATGACCAGCGACTGGACGACTGCGTTTCCGAGAACATCTCCTGGAGCAGGAGTTTAATGTCACCTTTGGTTTACATTCAAACTTTCCGCTGAGCGTACTAGACTTGAGCTGAGACGTAAGGAACGGTTCCCCTGGAGCAGTAGCTGTTGCCCGGGCGCTAGACTTAACCTGGAACAGCTTCACGATGTTATATCGTCGTAAGGATCTGGTACGGCGACACAGATGCGAGGGAATTGATGACCTGAGTTGAAAGTCGCGGCTTTGGAAATCTCCAGAACCCTGGCAGAAGCTCCATCTACACCACTAAACATATGTAACACTACTCGCCCAACTCTTTACGCTTCTTCTCGGCCATCATTGTGCTATTTCGAGGCCGCTGATCTCAAATGAAACGCAACCACGTAGGTGTTATCTGGTTATCAAAGCCAGAAAAGCTCCTACGTCGGGATTCCGGCCGCTCGGTTTGCTCTCGCAGTTTGCAAGGTGCCCCGAGGCCCCTTTCATTGACCACCTTGTTGCGCTACGGAACCTGCAGCAATAAGAGCAGTATAGTTTCCTACAGCAGCCGTCACCCTGCCTCCTGACCCTGTCACCAAATGAGAATCCCATCAACTCTACAGCCCAATCGCCTGTTATGACGAGCCGCTCGATCTCCTGTACATCTAGCGACGTCAGAAAGCGACATGACGAGCTACACTGATGTCTCTTCGAGCTCCACTGTCAGCCTCAGCAGCAAGGGGCTCATGCCTCATGCAGTCAGACAAAATAGCTTATGTCTCTCAACTGAGTAAGCCTCTGCCCAGGGACGACGCTCTGGGCCTCTCTCGGAGTTGTGCGATGGATGATCGTATATGAATGCCCCAGATGATCTTCCCAGGCCTGAAAGCCGAGGTGACGGCCCCGTACACCCCGTCGTGGGCTGTAGTGATGCTGCATCAGAACAGTCTTCTCATCAATCCAATGGAAGTTGAATCGATTGCAGCCACGGCGAATATGAATGGCTTACCATCCAAAATCCCTGCTAAGGGGGCGAGCCGCTGTTGCGCTCGATAATATCTTCTCTCCCAATGGGCCGCGTGCCGTCATTGAAAACCATGGCCTCTCGATGCTGGCGTCGAAGTCGTTGTTCCTCTGCGGAGTGATCTCTGCTTCTGGGCACATTCTCCGCCGCCTGATCATCGTCGACGTCCGCCGCACGCACAGCCGGCTGCAGGGCGACCAGAAACCCTTCCTCCGTTTCCGCCGCAATGGTAACATGAAACTTGGACTCCACAGGGAGGTTGCACGCGTTCAGCGCCTTGCTACCCTCAGTTGTGTGCGCTATCCTTGTGACAATGTCGACGATCCGGTTTCTCTTGTGATCCAGGTAGTAAGCGAAGTTCTCGCGCCGCTCGTCCTCGCCCTCGCCCCATTTTTGCTTCGCCAACCACTTCTCCACGAATTTGGCCTTGACCAGCATCTCGGCACCATACTTGTTGATGAGTTCCAGGAGGAACATTAGGCAAAACCTCTCGGCCATATCGCGTAGGTAATATTCATCCCAATATTTGTCGTCGAGACTTTCGTGCTCCACGTCGTCGAGGCTGAGCTCGAGTGATCGCACCAACGCTGTGTACGCTTTCCAGTTGTGCAGTTTTGAAAGCCCCTCTGTGTCGAATCAGCAAACCCATACCTTTGATGAGGAGTCAGATCTGGAGGCGTACCGTGTGTCTGACCAGTCAATGTGGCCAGCGCTCTTAGAGCCTGCATTCGTGTGTCATAGTCTGGCCGGGTGATATCGTAGAGTAGGTATTGAACTGTGTCTGGGTCGTTGACGGCGCGATCGCACAGGATCTTGTTGGCGATGTCGCGAATGGAGTAGTTCGAATGAGCCAGCAGCTTGTCAAGCGTTCCGAGCTGTAGCGAGTCTTCTGTATCCTGAGTGATGTATTGCGGTTTCAGCGGCGTCGGCTTGACTTCGTTGTCGTCGCGCACCCACAGCAGTGCCTGTGTCATCATTGCCACCATGCTAATGGTGGCAGCGCCAATGCCGATGAGCACGACGCGCTCGTCGCGACAGAACCGAAGAAGAGACGAAAGCGACATTGTGTCGGTCATCGTCATGGCCGCATTTTGCTTTGCAAGGGAAACGATGCCTCCGTTCTATGAGGGCTTCAGTGTGTTCACGATTGATGGTGCAATGACGGAGCTCCAACCTCGAGCTTCAGAAGTAGATACCCCAGCTATTTCCTTGGGTACCTAGGTACCTTTCCTAGGTGCGCTCCACCCCTACGACATTCATTATTCCCTGTACCGATTGAGTGCCCCACTGTTTGATAAGATAAGCCTGGGTCCCTCACAATTTTTTTGGATGGCTCTTCAAGAGGCTTGCGACCCGCGATCTGAATAGCGATGCACAAGCACTTCGGTCGGTGATCGCACAACTTTTTCAGCATGGCGGGCGGTTCGCATCTCAAACGTCTGAAGTCTTCGCTCAGAGGTAACTCTTATCTTCTTGCGGGCATGACCTTTTTGGATTGACGACTGACATTGCCCTCTCCAGAGCAAGGCTTGACCGGACCCCAAAAGTCCAAGAAGCAGAAGCGCCAGATTGCGAACGACGGCAAGGCGAAGAATGACAAGCGCCTGAACCGAACCGAAGCCCTCAATCAGATCCGGGAGCAGTTCAACCCATTCGACTTGAAGCACAATGCCCGGGGCCCCAAGTTTGAGGTGACGACCAATCGCCCATCTACCGGCAATGCCGCCAAGGGAATTGCCGGCCGTCCGGTGGCCTCCACGACTGCGGCCGAACAGCGGCGCCGGGACACACTCCTGCTCGAGATGCAGAGGCGCAACAAGGTCGGAGGTATCCTCGATCGACGATTCGGTGAAAGCGACCCCAACATGGCGGAGGAGGAGAAGATGCTGGAGCGTTTCGCCCGCGAGAAGCAGAGGTCCCACAAGAAGACGAACCTCTTCGACCTCGAGGAGGCTGAGCCTCTGGGCGAGCTCACTCACGGCGGCGAGGCCTTGACCCTGGACACGCAACTGGTTGACGATTTTGACGAGGATGATCTCGACTCGGACGATGACGAAGGCCTGGCAGAGGCTCGCAAGCGAGCGCTCAAGCGCATCCGAGATGCCGAGGCTGATGAGGAAGGGGAGGGTGGTGAAGGTGAACCGGAGAGGAAGAAGAGCAAGAAGGAGGTCATGGAAGAGGTCATTGCCAAGTCCAAAGCCTACAAGTACGTCTGATCTCTGGCTACTGCTGTTGAAACGGCTACTAACCCCATTCTTCTCACAGGTACGAACGACAAGTTGCCAAGGATGAAGATGAAGAGCTTCGCGGCCAGCTGGATAAAGAGCTCCCTGAGCTGCAGATGCTTTTGGCAGCTCGCGTGCGCAAGAATGTTCCCAAGGACGACAAGCCGCCTCAGCTCGTTGCAGGCATGGAAAAGGCTGCGTTTGACAAGGACTTTGACCGCAGGCTAAAACAACTCATCCTGGACAAGCGATCGAAGCCCACTGAGAGGACCAAGACGGATGAGGAGAAGGCGGAGGAAGAGGTGGAGAAACTCAAGAAATTGGAGTCTGACCGCCAAAAGCGCATGAGGGGAGAGTCCGTCTCTGATGACGACAACGAAAGCGAGGACGACAAGATGGAAGAGGAGCCAGCTGAGGAGCCAGCTTTCCAGTTCTTCACTGAGGACCCAGAGGAAGATTTCGGTCTCGGAAAGGGAGTGCAGGCATCCAAGGGGCGTTCGAAGGGGCGTCCGTCTGCTGACGAGCTTGGAGGTGACGAAGACGATTTCTTCATCGACGATGATCTTGTGGCCAGCGGCTCCGACCTCGACATTGCCGAGAGCGATCTGGAGGAGGAAACAGATTTGTCTGGCGACGAGCAAGAGGAAGCCGACGAGTCTGATGACGAATTCACCAAAGGCCTTTTGAACGAGTCTGAAACTAGGAGTAACATCTTCACCACGGGAGCGCCAGCGGACGGCAAAGTCGACGCCTCCGATCTGCCATACACCTTCCCTTGCCCTGAGACGGTCTCCGACTTTGTGGTACTGGCCAAACAGTACCCGATCGACAAGCTTCCAACCATTGTACAACGTATTCGAGCAGTCTACCACCCGAAACTTGATAGTCGGCACAAGGAGAAGCTGGAGCACTTCGCCATTGCGCTCATCGATTACATCGCGATGGACCACGTCGAACTAGGCACGCCTTTCCAGGTCATCGAACAAATAATGCGACATATTCATTCGCTGGCGAAGACATTCTTCCCAGTTGAGATAGCTGTTCGATTCCGGCATCACATCAAAGAGATGGAAGACCAGCGACCGCAAGCTCTGCATACTGGTGATTTGATTCTCTTTACCGCCGTTGGCATGTTCCCCACCTCGGATCACTTCCACCAGGTTGTCACGTAAGGCTTTGATTTCCGACATCACCGTAACAGCAACTGACAAAAAGACAGACCAATGATGTTGACTATTGATCGGTACCTGAGTTTGAAAGCACCGAAAACTCTCGACGATTTGGCGACAGGCGCATACCTTTCCACTCTCGTTCTTCAATACCAAGCCTTCTCAAAGAGATACATGCCTTCGGTTTTGGTAATTTAGGACAATCTTTCCCCAACAATCATATTCTGACACGCAATAGAACGTCTGCCTCAACACAATCGCCGCGGTAGCACCGCAGAAGGCTTCATGGCCAGGGACTTTCCCAGTACACGAGCCTGCAGCGGATGTGAGACTTTTGAGCACGAAGAAGGGCGCGATTCGCAAGCTGAAGATTTCGGACTGCACTCCACAGGAGCAGACGAAGGAACAGCGCCAAGAGCTCAAGCTTGCACTTCTGTAAGTTGTGACCTTGTCTGAAACGCTGAATTCCATGCTGATGTTTTTTCCAGCGCCGCATCTGCGCAACTCTTGGCAGCAGCCGCCGATATATGGGCCTCCGCAAGCGCATTCACCGAGACGTTTGGTCCGGCGCTGGAGATGCTTTCCCAGCTCACGAAGCCAAAGAACTCGCAGCTACCTCCTACGCTGGTCGATCAACTGGAGAAGGTAATCCTCAAGCTCCGCATCCTCAGCAATTCAGCCCGCCTCGCGCGCCGTCCGCTTGAGCTTCACCACCATCGCCCGCTTGCCATCAAGATGGGCATTCCCAAGTTCGAGGACAGTTTCGACCCCAACAAGCACTACGATCCCGATCGCGATCGCGCGGAGCTGGCCAAGCTGCGTGCAGAGCACAAGCGGGAGCGCAAGGGTGCCATGCGCGAGCTCCGCAAGGATGCGCGTTTCATGCAGCGCGAGAACCTGCGGGTCAAGAAGGCCAAGGACGAGGCGTACGAGAAAAAATACAAGAGGCTCGTGGCCGAGATTCAGAACGAAGAAGGTCGGGAGGCGAATGCATACGAGAGGGAGAGGGAGGGCAGAAAGAAAGCGAGGAGCAGCAGGTAGACAGTGGTTGGATTGCAATGGGAAGGGCTTTGTATTGGAGTTACCTTATCAGGGTTCAGGACTGCGATTCCTCTGCATCTCGTTTATTCAAATATCACTTGTCGTTTGGAGCCACTTTGTTCAAGCTGCTTGTGGAACAGTAACCCGCTGTGCCAGATGCTAAAATAACTACATAACATGAGCAAGGTTGTAGGGACTACGGGGGTAGACTGCCTCGCCAAGTCACGTGAACACGAGAATGTTTAGTGGTGACTAAGGAAACGCGCTCCGAGGCAGACTTAACCCCACCGACGCGACTTGCCTCCGTTTCACGTGGACCACTTTACGAGGAACGTCGAGGCACAACACCGTAAATCACCAGCAGCGAAACGACCGCTGAAGGCAAAAAGCCTCCACTCTCGTCCAATGCTGGCACATATACCATCAAATGTTTCTTCGCCGACTTCATGACGCGGAACAACCTCGGAGACCATCTTGCTTGGCTCTTGGGCAACATCGCCATCACGAAACCTTCATGTCCTAGCTACCCTCCGAGCCTTAGCTTGTCGCAGTCCCAGCTGAAGCCCGCAAGCTTCGAGGCCAAGTCGAGTCTGTCCAATATTGCCGTCAAGCGAGCGCACTGCGCACCGAATGAGAAAGCAGCTGCCGCCCATGCCAACGATACGCCGAAAGATACTGCTCGGGATCCCGGAGGGGCACCGAACGCTCAGGAAGACATGGCGAAGTTGATGTCGGCGTCGAAGTCTCACAAGCCATCCTTGTTGAGCAAAAATCAGCAACTCCCCACACCCGACCCCTCGACAAACGTGGGCGGTGCTTTGCAACGGGCATACAAGGCTCAACTCGAAGAACAGCACGCGGGTCATAGCCTGCGTTCCCCTGCCCCTGCAAAGCGCGAGCCAGTCTCGCAGAGCAAGCCGACAGGGACCAGGTCACTCACGGCCCCGCAAGCTGTGCATCCTAGAATAAAGACCAGCCAAACACCAACACGGGACTTGCCAACCCTGGATGACTTTGACCTATCCGATGTGATGGATCTCACAGGGGACGATACAGTCATCTCCTCGGATTCAATCAACTTTGGCGACGAAGTCAAGATTTGGAACGAAGTCCACGGCAAGAGGTCGGAGCCGCCGTCACACAGGGGCCAGAAGAGGAAGAGTATGGATGTTGCCGACATGGATGATTTCAATCCGGATGATGAGTTTCCCGACCTCTACGACATACTCGAGACTCCTGCTCCGAAGAGTAACAAAGCGAGCAAGGTCACAAAAGTCACTACTCCGAGCTTGTTGGAGACACATGACCAAGCCGCGCGCCCTTCAACGACCCGAATTCAGAAGATATATCGACAAGCAAGTGATGATGGCAATCCTGGCACGCCCAGACGACCCATGCCTCTCTCTCATCACGATCAATATCTGGGAAGAACGCCAAGCAAAGCGCTTGTCCTATCGTCCTCGCCCAACACACGTGAGCCCGTGGATTCAACGCCCGATGCTTGTCAGGTCAAGGGCACTCCAGCGCCCGGCTTGGTCAAGAAACGCCGGATTATCCAGGACTCAGACGACGACGAGCCTAATGACGAATGGATTACACCCCCGAGTCGACATGTCTCCATCGCTCAGC